TCTCACACCGACGCGCCAAATGCGCGACTGGGCAACAGCTTGATGATGATATTATTTGTGCGAGCTGAAACTGCGACATTCTACAGAACCTCTGGCATTGTATAGCGCTCTCCGATTTTTTTAACCACCCCAACCTCGATCCATGCAGAAAGTGCACCGTGTACTTCTTTTTCTTGGCAAGGGAGACCCATTCTGGAACAAATGCTTCCAAAAGTCATATCCTCGCCCTGTGAAAGCAGATCGTAAACTCTGTCAACTACCTTTCCGTTTGTGTCAATACTTAACTGCTGATCGCTTGTTGTCTCCATATTGTTGTTGTCGTTTTCTTCTTCGGCATCGTGTCCCAAACAATCCTTATGGAATTCAGTGATTGGCGATTGCGCGGCGAACATATGTAACCCATCGGAATATGTATCCACCATCTGTCTGAATTGTACAATGCATTCGTCTGTGTAAAATGAAGCAACCAATTCTTCAAAATAAGCTGCATGACTGTGTTGTGAGTCGTCCAAAATATCGTATGTTTCGACATTGCCTTCATAATCCAATCTGATGCCCACTTCCTCCGGTGCGAATTGTCCATCGATATCCTCGCGTCTTGGCTGTATTTCCTCGTGAGATGTCGCTGCAAACTCCAGTCCTGGACGTGTCATGTTCATGAGTTCCATGTGCAAGTCGCTCTCAAAGTAAATCTTCCCCTCAAGTAATGGCGAATGTTGTTTATGTGTCGGGCCTGGCGGATGGGGCGAGTGGGCGTGGTCTAAGATGGAAAGGCTGGCTCTCTGCGAAGGCAATGCGTGCGTACGCCGAATGCGCTTTCGCCTGGAAGAGGGAACCTGAAAAGGCCTCCCTGTCCCGCTTGGCACTGCCGGAGAGACACCCTGAAAGGCTCCCTGTCTGGCGGCGGGAGAGGAAACATGGGAAGATCCTCTGTCCTCTCGATCGGTCCTTCTATGGTCTTCTTCTTACTCGAGCTCGTGGCGTTTTCTTTGATGTGCAGAAGTGTTCGGATGCTCGCTGTTCGCTGCTTTGGGTGTGTGGGGCCCGCCCTCGGGCCCAGAGTCCCTTCAGAAGCAATTCTTGGGCGAAAGACTGCACGCCACTCACACGTTGCGTGGCCCCATCAGGAGCTCCACTGGAGGTCGCAGCGGCCGTCATCGCATGCGTCTCCCCACAGCCCGCGTGCGGTACCCACCCCACGCTGGCACACCCCATCAGGCGGTTCGCCCGTCTCACGCGATTCGCGGCCCCATGGGGAGTTCCCCCTCGATGGTCCCGCCTGCCCTGCGGTACTCACAACTGCATATGGTTGGGTCCTTCGCCAGGATAATTGGCGTCGCGGCCTCGCGCGCAGCGTCGTGGCGGAGAACGGTCGAAAACAGCAGCAGTGCGCGTCTAATCGCCCGAGCCCTCAGTGACCTCTTGGGGCCACGCAGCGGCGGCCGCCATAACCATCTGGGCGTGAATGGCAGGGGGAACGGCGAGTAGACGAACTACGGTGAGTGGAGAGTGACATGACATGAGCCAACCGGGACTGGAAGACGGGGGGAACGAGGAAGCAGAGTGGACGACAAGAAGGTCAAGGATCAACATTGAAGCAAGCGCAGCGACGAGCTGCAAGAAATAGCAAGCCGAGCGGCCGCCAAAGTCGGCAGAGCCGAGTGGCACGGCGGAAACGGCGGCGACAAAGAAGACTCAAACCCACACAGGCACACACACACAAACTTTGTGGCGGTCGCAGCCTCGCGCGCGGCGATGAGGCGGAGCAACACACACACACACACACACACACACGCACGCACGCACGCACGCACGCAAGCACGCAAGCACGCACGCACGCACTCACGCATACAAACACACACACACACACTTTTTGGCGTCGCGGCCACGCGCGCAGCGGCGCGGCGTAGAAAACACGCACACACGGACACACTGACACGCGGACACACAGACACACGGACACACGAACACACACGGACACACACACTCACAGACACAAATGGCAAGCAAGTTCACCTCTTCCAAAGAGATCGAAAGATACCGATACCGTTACTCCCTGTGCCTCTTCTGGGATGCTTTCTGACCAGAATCTCAAAGAGAGTCCAGCAGTGACAACGAGAGCCTCCCAGGAGGCCCCACATAACGACTACGAGGGAAGGGCAGCGGTATTGATACCTCTTCCTCCTCTCATGGTCACCTCTTCCCTCCCGCTGCCCGAGCAGCTACCCCACCGCAGCGAGGAGCGCATGGTCGCGGCTGCCATGACCGAGCTGGGGCGGCCCCGCGGCGGATGTGGGCTCCGGGTGCGACCGGATGCGGCCTGCTGCCTGCGTGGCGAGGGCGCGGCACCGGCTCTGAAGGTCTGCGCCGGCGGCATTGAGGAGACAAGGGGCAACAGTAGGGGGGGGAGAGCAACTAAGGGGAGGGAGAACATCGACATGGAGACGGCGATACGTCGCCGATAGATCAGCGATAGGCCCCCGATAGCGAATCCGCACAGTCCTGGGCGGGGCGGGCTATCGTACCCCGATCGATTCTGGACGAGAAAAACCATCCCCCCCCCCGGGGAGACCTTGGCCCCACTGGGCAACCTACCCCAGATGGATGCCGTCTCCTTCAGGTTTCGGGGCGCCCATCCCAGACTAGAGAGGGCATGCTGGGAGAAACAGCAGATTACCATGCCCTGGTGGGGGTGGGGATGGGTCTGACGATGGCGGCGATACATGGGCGATTGGAGGTCGATGCATCCCCCTTATCCCCCCTCACGTTGCCCCTGGGGAGAGGCGAAGGCAGGCCGCGCAGGCGGGGAGGAAGCGTCCCGAAGAGTCTTTGGGCAGAATCGTGACGCATTCCGCCCGACGTTTTCACACTTCGCGGTGGTGGCTGGACGGTTTCGGGCGTTGATGGGGCGGTCTATGAAGCCACACGTGCGATGTCCTGATTTTTTCAGTACGGAGTCCCCGAAGTCTCGACCCTTAGTTTTTCGTCCTGGGTTGTTTTTTTTTCGGTCCCAGGGCCCGGTAAGGGCCTCCAGCAGAGGTCCCAAACGGCCAAAAACCCGGTCCAGATTGTTTCAGGGCGCGAGCAAGTCTGGGAGGTTTTCACCACACTCCGCAGGACCCACCAGCAGCCCTCCGAAGCGGCGACAGCTTCGCAGATGGCAGCCCCCCATGGACGGCGAGGTCCCGCTCGGGTCCGCGCGGTGCCTAACTCCGCAGGACCCACCAGCAGCCCTCGAAAGTGGCGACACTTTCGCAGATCGCAGCCCCCCAGGGACGGCGAGGTCCCGCTCAGGTCCGCGCGGTGCCTCACTCCGCAGGACCCACCAGCAGCCCTCGAAAGTGGCGACACTTTCGCAAATCGCAGCCCCCCAAGGGACGGCGAGGTCCCGCTCAGGTCCGCGCGGTGCCTCACTCCGCAGGACCCACCAGCAGCCCTCGAAAGTGGCGACATTTCGCAAATCGCAGCCGCCCAGGGACGGCGAGGTCCCGCTCAGGTCCGCGCCGTGCCTCACTCTGCAGGACCCACCAGCAGCCCTCGAAAGTGGCGACTCTTTCGCAGATCGCAGCCCCCCAGGGACGGCGAGGTCCCGCTCAGGTCCGCGCGGTGCCTCACTCCGCAGGACCCACCAGCAGCCCTCGAAAGTGGCGACACTTTCGCAGATCGCAGCCCCCCAGGGACGGCGAGGTCCCGCTCAGGTCCGCGCGGTGCCTCACTCCGCAGGACCCACCAGCAGCCCTCGAAAGTGGCGACACTTTCGCAGATCGCAGCCCCCATCGTCGGAGAAGGGATGACAAAAGGAGGCGGGGGGCGGGAGGAGGAGGACGCGACCACACCCCTCTACTCAAAACGAATACCCAACCAAGGAGGGTTGGGACAAAAATGCTACAACGCGGTTAGAATCGCGCTGCGTTTCAGGACGCTCCAAACGCGTCAAGAACATGTTGTTCGGAGCCGATGAGCTTGCGCTAGGCATGTTTCATATTACTGATGCGCGCGTGCGGCTGCACCATCTGCGGGCGCCGCCCGGGGGAGAGGTCGCTCTGGGCGGGGCGCAGCGCTCTGGCGCCGGATTTGACGATCATCGCGCGGGGGCGACTCGGGAAAAGTTGCGCGAGGGGTGCGGGGGGGGGGGGCCTTGCGCAACTTGGGCCCCCCCCCCCCCTGCCAGGCAAAGACAAGGGGGGGGCCCTCGCGCAACTCGCTGTACAACCCTGCGTTTCGTCGAGGTCCCTGGCGCGGGCCTCGCGCGACTAGTTGCGCAGGGGTGGCGGGGTGGCGCTGCCTTGCTGTGCACGGCTGGGCCCTGGGCCATCGCCTGTCGCAGGCCCCCGACAGGCGCCCTCGCGCCTCGTCGGGAAGGCCTTTGCACCTGGGCCACATGCGAAGGCGCGGCGCGTCAAGTCAGCCCCCCCTGGCTTCGGCAGGGGGCCTTCTAGCGACAAGGCGCTCGCAATGCAGCCTTCGCTAATCGCGAATAGAACTCCGGAGCTTCAAGCAATAATTCAGACTGAACTTTTTTATATTTTTTCTGCGTGGCTACGTTGCGCGCGAATCAGATCGCCTTGCTGCAGGGGGGGGCAACTCATGCTCGTTCACTCCAAGAGCGCCCCGGTAAATCACAACTGGTCCTGGCTCAGACGCAACGCCCGAGCGCGGAGGGGGGTCATCGCGCGGCGGGGAACCCCGCAGGGACTTGGACGCAAGCGACGGAGGCGGCGCCAAATCAAAATGATCATCCTCGCCACCACGGGGATCAGACCAAGGGGCAATGGCTCGCCCCAGTCTGAACCGCCCTCAGAGCCCCCGTCGCCCGCGCTCTCAGGGGGGGCGCCGCCGCCGCCCTCCCGGGGCAGTGGCGCCGCGCCGAAGCCAACGGGCAGGTCGGCCGCCAGGGCCCCCCCCCCTCCGGAGGTGCTGGCCCGTGAACTTCGCGCGTGAGTTGGTATGTTCCGGGGCGCCCGCTGGTTTCAGCAAATCACCTGCGCGCGCTGGATCGCCTAAATCGACGCGCCCTTGGCCGTCGACCCCGTCCGCGGCAAGCGTCGGAAAAGCATCTGCGACGTTGATGGGCAGACCCTGCCAGCCTCGCTGAGCCTCTGCGCGAGACACAGGCCGCCTGCGTCGGTCGGATCGTCGGCCGCGCCGCGGGCGAGCGCAGCGCTCTCCGCTTTCCGCCCGCCCCCGAAATCCACGGAGCCGCGCGCGCAATGCCGAGTCGCCGTCGCCCCCCCTTATCCTGAACGGGCGCCGCGCAGGCAGTTTCGAGCGCATGTTTAAGACAGGGGCAACGCATAAGTTTCGAGTCAAAATGCGCGCGGGACACAATGCCTCGCCGCTGTCGCAAACGCCAGAATTCCGGAGACAGCAACGCGAGCCAGGCCTCATCGCACGGCAGTGGGGTCGTGATCGAAAATGCGCTGCGCTTCTGCGGCCGCGTTGACATCGCTGCCATCGAGAACTCGATCGCCCCTGTGACCGGCCCCAAAGGCAGCCACTCCCGCCCCTGCCGACCAGGCCGAATGGCCTCGAAGCTCATTCGACGTCTGGATAGCAGCACGCCCCCTCCCCTGTCTGAGCCCTGCACTCGCGAAGTCGATGCCCGAGGGCCCCCCCGCGGAGAAACTGAGAAACCTTTATACGAGCAGCCAGCCATGAGCGGCAAGGACTCGTTCACGCGGTCTGCCTTTCCCCGGTGCACAGCGCTGTCACCGTCTGGAAGTTCTCTCCGCGCGCCATCAACCCCCCTGCGTTTCTGCGCCATGCTACCCCCCCCCACCCCACCTCGCAGCAATGTTCGCCCGCGGAAATATCGCGAGCCCGCGCGGGTTCACTGCTCGCCTGAACCCTCGAGCCCCACGGGCGCTTCGTGGATGTCCCCCGCGACGAGGTCCCCGGGCGACCGCGCGCGCGAGCTCGGCCCGCTTCGAACTGGGATTCAGGCAGCCGATCACCGCTTCGCCCAGTTAACGCGGATTTGACGCATTCGCTGGGCACGTGGCTACGCGCCGCCGAAGCCGCTTGAAACGCCCATGTCTGGTAAATCATCTTGGAGGCCCCAGTCGCATCCAAGGAACCCCGCCGCTTGAGTCAGCGCAACCCCTTGGCCCAGCAAGTGTCGCCGCTCGATCTTCGCCGAGACTAGCTCGCGCGATGCTGACAACCGGCCCCAAGCATGCGTTGGCAGCCTCTCGCACGCGTCTGCGGGGATGCCGAAATCGCCGTGGCCGAGGTCGGGCGAAACAGAGGTCGATGCAAGAGTTGCGCCGCTCCAAGCGCGCGGCAAGTTCGTCGGCGATGATGGCGACGGCGCAGCCGCTGTAGGTCTTAATGTCGCGCGCCCCGAGCGCCCGGCGGCAAAGACACCGCTCGCGCAGGAAGATCAGCCGAGGCCTCGCACCAGCGATAGCGAGAAGAAACGCCCTCTGCGCGCTCCTGCCGCCCATCGCCGTCCAGGCGAATCCATCCCCGCTCGTCTCCGCGATATTTCAACGACGCACTCGCAATCGCACCCGCGACCTGATGCCCCCCCCCCTGCCGCTGAGGATATCCACGTTCGCCTCCATTGCCTCGCCGACATCCCGGGCCACCCGAATAGTCGTCGAAGCCTGCGTGTGGGGGGGGGGGCGGCAGAATGTCTGACGACCACTTCTGTGAGCTCGTCGATCTGAAACGCCGCGCTCAGGTAGTGCCGCGCAGGTCGAGTGGGCAAAGTGCATGTGCCAAGAGTTGCCACCGCGCCGCCAGACTCCATAAAAGCAGCGATTTTGCCACCATTAACAGCGCGTGCTGCTATCGATAAGCCGTCGTTGTCGGCATTTCCAGATTCACCATCTTTTCCGGGCTGCTCCGACGCGGCATGCACGTCCTCGCTGCTGAGCGCAATTTGGAGCACCCTTTTCAACGTGCCGCGGGCTCGGAGCGCTCGTCTGCAAAATGTCGCGGCAACCTCCATGCCCTTCCAACGATGCCCCAACGGCGCTGGAAACGGCCCACCACATACCAACCGAACCGAATTCTTACATGCCGACAGAGCTTTCCGTTTGCCGCCATTGCATTTGAGCGGACACCCTGGCGAAGAATAGTGACGCATATCTCCCGAATCGGGGTCGCTCGTCATCGCGGCCAACCTGAAATCGACGTCGGCCTGCGTTGAATCTCGAACTGCCGGCGACATGTGCAATGCGTGTGGCCATTGTCGTATACATGCTGCCGCTGCTGCTGGCAGTTTAGGGGCGAATCTGCATTTGAAAGATTCCCCAACCTCCGAATCCAAAGCCTCCAGATACGTGGCATGAGAACGAGCGGATTCAAAGACATGGCCTAGTTTGACTAAGGCAGAAGAACAGCCCGTGGAAGCGATCAACGGTTTCGTCGCCAGCACAACGCTGCGGCAAGCACATCTGAAGTCTATCAAAGTGGTCCCTTGGACGGGCGACTCCTCGGGAACATTCTTTTTTATGTTTTTTCCTGCAGGCACACCAAACACGTATTTCGTCGTTCTTGCGCGAACGGCAGCGCCTTTCGTGGTATGAGGTCCACGAATTTCTGTATCTCTCCACCTTTGCCCACGCATCTGACTGTGCGGGATGTGCTCATGACGGTCCACCTCTGCCACCTGCCGTGCAAAACCATCGCATTCGCCACGGGCAAAGTTTGGGACGGTGAATCCACCGCAGCACTGGATGATACAACGTGGTCGATGTCACGCGTTGTATCTTCACATCCGGAGACGGACGGACCAGTTCGCAATACAAAACAGATCGCACACCGAAAGGGTTCGCATGTGACTGTTTTCCCAACATGTTTCCCAGTTGTGCCTCTAATTGTGATTCCACGTCGGTGCAAACTTCTTTCTCGCCAGACTTACTGTTCACCCACACCGTAGCGTCATCGAAAACATTTTGTCCACCGCAAACACCAAACAGTTTCAGCCCCAGCACCGATACCGAACTGAGTCCGCTTCCCCTCACGGGGGCGATCACCACCACTCCAAACGAAATACGGGCAAGAACAACTGCGATGCTTTGTAGCGGCAGCACTCGAGAGCGGCAAGTGGCAAGGAGAGGAAGATGATTAAAAGAACTCGCATGTCCTCAAAGTGGGTGTCCGGGCTACTCCACGGAAGCACCACCACAAAACATCCAAGTATCCTGCCTGGGTGGTCGCTTAGGAACTTGATACATCCAGAAGTCTGCGCAATAACGTGCGAAACGAGGGCTCGAGTGGACGCTGCATCAAATCCTGATCTAGCGTGCTTTCTGTCAGACGTGTAAATGGCCCCACCACCAACGAAGAGATGGAACGCTTTTGATTTCTGGCAAACGAATCCACCATCACTCAACCCTTGAGATGATGCTTGAGATCTGCCTGGGGCGAGGGCTGTGAGATCCTGGACGTCCTTCTCTAATGCATATGCTCGTTTTGTTCGTTACCGTGTTTGAAAGTTTTGCCGCTGGGCGTCAGACAGTATGAATCCAACCTTTCGGCCGCGGCTCTCCAGATACTGTTCTTTCATCCATGCTTGCGCCCAAATGGCTACGGACGCCGGCGGCGAACATGAGATCGTAAGCGAATTGCGCCAATAATGGCGACGAGGACAACCACGACGACGACAACTGCTAACTTCGACGGTCGGTATAGAAGCAGTCCAGTACGGCCCAAGACGGCCCCCATAGTGCCCAGCCCCTTTAGAGAGAAGACTCAACATGACACACTAAAAAACTCGTATAGACGAAACCTCACTGAGCATTAACGCTTAACACATTAGGAACTTCGGACAACATGCACAAGATAACCCAACATCTTGTGCCCAAATATCGGCGGGATTCTCGTGCACACTTTGATATGTTCTCGTTTTGCCCAGTGATGTGATGCTTCTGTTCCTCCGGCTCCCCCCACTGATCCCCGTGACCTGACCCGACCCCCCTGCTTCAGACGACAGATGGTAAGAGGCTGAAGATGGTCTATATATATATATATGTATACAGATATATACCAGAACCATCGCGCGCGCTTCGCGCGCGCTCAGATTCTAGCAGGCCCCAGGCCTTGACGAGTCCACTGCTCCACTGAAGTAGTGTACCACAACCTACGCATGTCAACCCGCATTCCAGAAGGCTTTCGGAAAAAATGATTGCGTAATTAGGGGGGCGGAGGCCGGATGAATCGGGTTCCCAGAAGGCGTTCTGGGAGCCTGGGGTTGGAGGCAACTTGGGGAGCCTGTTGGGGCGTGCCGTCGTCGTCGTCGTAATGTCGTCGTCGCTTCTTGGAACGCGCCGTCGTCGTCGTCGTCGTCGTCGTCGTCCTCGTCTTCGTCTTTTCGTCGTCTTCGTCGCCGTCGTCGTCGGTTCAAGAGGGCACTTGGGGCAACTTTGTGCGAAGCGACCTGCGGGGGGCCGCGAGGAGGCGATCAGTCATGTTCCCAGTCAACTTACCAGGCAGCTCTCCGGTAGCGTGATGGTACTTCGGAGCCTCCAGAGACTCTCGGGCCCATGGTGAACCATATCCCTGGAAGGCTTTCTGGGGACATGATTTGTTGGAGCGTGTTGGGGGGCCTCTTGGGCGCTCCCTGGGGGGCCCTTGGGGGCCTCCGTGAACTCTCGGGCCCATGATGAACCATGTCCCCAGCAGAAGGCTTCTGGGGACATGATTTCTTAGTATGCGTTGTGGGGCTTCTTGGGCTTTCCCTGGGAGCCCTCTGGAGGTCTCGTGGGGCTTCCTGGGGGCCTCTTGGGCGCCTCACGGGGCTTCGTGGGAGCCTCTTCGTGGGCCTCTGGGGCCAGAGACCTCGAAATATCGGTTGGCGGTCCCCCTCTGGGCCCATTCTTGGGGAGCTCTTGGGGCACACTTGGGTTGTCTGGAGGGCCTCCTGGGCCGTCTTGGGGCCCTCTTCCGGGGCCTCATGCGCCGTCTTGGAACGATCTGAAGGGCCCTCCGAGGCCGTGAAGGAGCGCTGGGAAGCGGGAGAAGCGAGAACGCCAAAGTCCTTCAAAAAACCGTCGGAAAATAAATGAATTCAGCCTCCCTGGGCCCTCTTGAGGAGCCTCTTGAGTCCGTCCTGGAGCGTGTTGGAGTCCTCGTCGGCCGTCTTGAGGGCGTCTTGGGTGTCTTCGGGGCCTCTTGGGAGCGTCTTGGGCCCCCTCGGGGCTTCCTTAGCCTGTCGTGGCCTGCTTCGGGGCGGGCCCGGGCCGCCTCAGAACCCCACTGGGCCCCGTCTTGGGGCGCTCTTGGGGAACACTTGCGTTGTCTGGGGAGACTCCTGGGCCGTCTTGTCTTGGGGCCCTATTCTGGGGCCTTGTGGGCCGTCTTGGAACGATCTGAAGGGCCTACGAGGCCGTGAGGTAGCGCAGGGAAGCAGGAAAAGCGAGAACGCTAAAATCATACAAAAACCGTCGGAAAATAAATGAATTCAGCCTCCCAGGACCCTCTTGGGGAGCCTCTTGAGTCCGTCCTGGAGCGTGTTGGAGTCCTCGTCGGCCGTCATGCGGGCATCTTGGGTGTCTTCGGGGCCTCTTGGGAGCGTCTTGGGCCCACTCGGGGCCTCCATTAGCCTGTCGTGGCCTGCTCCAGGGCGGGCCTGGGCCGCCTCGGGAGCTCTGGACCCCCCCCCACACAATCCTCTGCGGGCGCTCATGGAGGGAACAGGCACCGGCCCGCACCCCCCGGCCCCCGAGGCTTTCAAGGACAGTGCGAAGACGAGAAACACGAATGCGGTTAACGTGTACGTTTTACGATGGGAATGGGGCCATTTTTGCCTCTCGGGGCCCTCCGGGGGGTCAAATTGCATGGGTTACGAGACGTCTTGGAGGCCTCTTGTTGGCTGCTTAGGGGCCTCTTGGGGGTCTCGGGGGTCCTCTTGGGGCGCGGGGCTCGCAATTCCAATCGGATTGCCCCATCTTGGGCTCCTCTTGGGGCCCTCTGGGAGGCCGTTGGGGCCGTCTTGGGTGCCTCTGGGGCTGGCCTGGGGCCCTCTTGGGCCGTCTTGGCGCCCTCTGGGGGGCCTCTTGGGCCGTGCAGGGGCGATCTTAGGGGACGGACGTTTTACGAAAGGAATGGAGCTATTTTTGCCTCTCGGGGCCCTCGTGGAGGGCAAATTGCACGGGTTCAGAGGCGTCTTCGAAGCCTCTGGGGCCGTTGGAAACGTCCCGTAACCCGTCGAAGCCGTCTTCAGGGTGTTGGGCGGCTGGCTGGGACCGCCGTGACGCTCATCGGACCGCCCTCCTAGGCGATTTTGGGCCCCCCAAGGTCCAGCCGGGCCCCCGGGCCACACATTTGTGGTAGAGGTCGTGGCCCCTGGGCCCCCGGGCCCGGTCCCCCGTTATATGTGTATATGTATACGCATATATATGTATATATATATATATGTATAGAGAGAGATATGTATGTATGTATGTATGTATGTATGTATGCATGCATGCATGCATGCATGTCTGTCTGTCTGTCTGTCTGTCTGTCTGTCTGTCTGTCTGTCTGTCTGTCTGTCTGTCTGTCTGTCTGTCTGTCTGTCTGTCTGTATGTATGTATGTATGTATGTATGTATGTGTGTAAGGTATACAGATACATACATATGTATATGTATATATATATATACATATGTATATATATATATATATCGATATATATATACATAGATCTAGCTATATATCGATATATATACCTATCGATCTATCTAACTATCGATAGATCTATATATACATCTATATCTATATATATATGTGCGTACATATATATATATATGTATACACTGCAGAACTTGGCCGAAAACTCTGTGAAACTATGTAGGCACATTTGAAGAATTAACCTGCGTGTGCTATGTACCTACACGATTGTTTACGTACCGCATGCTTCATCGTAAAGGTGACTACTTAATACTCGTGTTAACCCTAGCGCGTAATCGTTCTGGCCTCTACACGGTGCCCTTCCTGGTTTCACCTGGAGCGCCCTATACAACTCCTCCCCCTTCTCCTCACTACCCCTCCTCCCTTATTCAAAGCAATAGCGCATGACAGCTTTATTCAGGAACAGTGGCGAGTGACGAACAGCGAACATCATATTCGCCACCGTACAATGCACGTCCCCCGCAACCACACTAACCTTTTCTAGTGGGCACCTGGCGCGTAGGGAATACAACCACGAGGGCCCTGAGAGGCCCCCAGAGGCCCCCTAGAGGCTCCTAAAATGCCCCCATGAGGCCTCAGAACGACTGACTGGTCTGTACGTGGTCCGGACATGCACCCCGCGAAGCGACAGGACTCAAATCAAATAACTTAGCTCAGCTCTGGCCGCAACGTTCGGCCATCTAATTAGGTCTTCCAAAAGGTAGGGGTCGGCGGTGATTCGCCGTAAGCGTCTTCGATCCACCCTTGTGCCTGCAACACGGGCTGTCGGCGTGCCAGACACGTAACTGTTCAAAAATATTCCAGATGCTTTTGAAACAGTGGGTCTCGGAGGTGTCTCATCCGCATCCGAGACGCTCAATATGGCCTCAAATATGATCTTCAAGATTGCAAACACGGTCCAGGATGGCCTCCAAACGCACTAAGACGCCTCCAAAACGGTCAAGATGGCTTCCAAGTCTGACTGGACGACTCCAAGACGGCCCAAGATGACCTAGAGACGGCTCAACACCGCCTCAAGACGGTCCATGAAGCCTTCAGGATGATTTTTTTCAGGAGGCCGATACCATTGATGTCCACTAGTTTTAACATGATTTTCGCGTTCTCGCCTTTCAGGCGTCCGAAGTCCGAAGACGGCCACAGAGACCTCCAACATTTCCCCTAGATGACACCAGAAGCCCACAAAAGGGCCGGCCGTGATGCTTTTTATGGTCTCCACTGTGCCCGGAGTTCTTCGGGCGCGGCGTAACCGACCCCTCCTCCTCTTCTCCTCCTCCTCCTCCTCCTCCTCCTCCTCCTCCTCCTCCTCCGTCTCCTCCTCCTTCTCTTCCTCCTCCTCATTCTCCTCGCGCCTCCCGCCTCCTCCCGCCTCGAGCCCAACGCCTCCCGCCTGCCCCTCCTCCTCCAGCCTCCTCCTCCTCCTCCGCCTCCTCCTCCTCCCCGATCCCCTTCCGTGACGAAAGCCCTCACCCTCGAAACTCCCCTCTGGCCGCCCGCCCGCACAACTTGAAGCGAGTCGAGAGCCGTCAGGGCCAGGAGCTGGCCAGGCCCCGCCGGCCCAGAAGGCTCGCCGGGCTCCCGGGCGCACCCTGGGCGGTGGGCATGCGCGAAGCCCAAGTTTCCGGCGCCGGGATTGTTCCGCAAGTGTGGGCCCCCAGGCCTATATGGAGCCTGTATATGGGGCCCAGACCCGGGACCGGCTCTTCGTCCCGAGTCGTCTCTGCATCTCCCGGGGCCTGGCGGGGGCCCCCATGGGAGACGGAAGACGGCTCGACGCACCCTGGGGGCTGCGGCGGGGAGGCGCGGGGCGGGCGGGGCGCGGCGCGGCGCGAGCCAAGGGCGGGCGGCCCGCTGGGGGGCGCGCGCCTTTGGTGGTCCCGGGGCCCGATGGCGACGGGCTCCAGGAGCCGATATCGAGGAAGAATGGCCCGGTTGAGAAATCATATCGTCGGAGGAGATCTGCTGGGATCACGGCGGCGGTTGCTAGGGCGATATCAGAGTGCTAAATGGGCGGAGCCCACCGAACCTGGATCCCTTTGCCCCTAGGCCACTCTGGGCGCTTCTGGTCCACTAATGAGCTACTCCACGCCACTTATAACCCCCAATCCCCTTGGCAACCACCGCGGTGATTCAAGCGGGATGGGCGGGATGGCGCGCGGCGCGGCGCGAGCCCGCGGGTGTGGACCCCCGAGATTGGTACGGAAACAGTAGGCACTATATGCCCAACAACTTAAATGTTCTAACCGACGGCGGCCGCTGCTGGGCAGGCGGCCTTCTGTCTCAAATGGACAACGTCCGCAGCGACGCCGACAGCGAACCCTGCTCGGGAAGGGAATGCTGTCGGTCTTCGTAGCCATTAACTTCCGCACCAATCCCGTCCGTGACGAAGAGAGGGGCCGTCGGACCGCCAGGCGCGCCGAGCGGCCGGCGCAGGTGCGAGAACACGCCCTGCACCTGCGGCGCGGAGGGGAGCGCCCGCTACACCTCCCCGGGCCAGCATCGAATCGCGAGATCGGACTGGATCGGAACATGCATCGACCCCAGACCTCCGACGCGTGGAACAGCTCAAAACGAAGGTCTTTCCCATGTTTCTGCATCTGGGGGCCCTCGCCCGGCCCCAGGCCCGTCAAAAACCGACTCGGGATCCAGACCCCCAGGCTCCCGGGGACCCCGTGGGGAGCCGTGCGGGGGAGCGCCAGGGCGGGACTGGCTCAGGGGGGGAAGCATCGCCCTGGATCCGGCGATACAGCATCGATGAATCGGCGATGTGCCCCCCGATGGCGAGTCGGCGCGGCCATGGGCCGGGTGGGCTACCGGGCCCCTGTCGGCGATCAGTCTGCGATGGGGGGTCGATGCGTCCCCCCGGAGCCGATTCCCCCCATAACATTGCCCCCGATGCGCGTGGAGGGGCCGCCGCCCCTTCTCGAGCCGGCGGCGGCCGAGGAAAACGGGCCCCAGGGAACGGATCCGGACTTCGGGAGCCGCGGATCGAAGAAGTCAGGACATCGGACGTCTGGCAATCCGGCCGCATCGGGTCGGAGCAGAAACCCTCGATCGGATCGGCCGCGCCCGCACGAGGGCCTCGCGATGAGGCAGCCAGGGGGGGGCGGGGTCCTGTGAGGGATCCACCCCCGAGTTGGGTTCCTCGCGCCGGCGGCGCCCAGGAGGGGAAGAGCTCAGATCGAGGGCGCGGCGGTCGTCTGGAAGGCACCCGGGGGGGCCTGGTGGGGGGTTCTCGAAGAGGCCGGCTCCCGTTGTGGGTTCCTCGGGCCGGCGGCGCGTAGGAGGGAGGTTCACGTAGGTCGAGGGCGGCGGCCTTCCCGCAAGGCAGCGGGGCTGCACTGTTAAAAGGGACTGGATTCCCGTTTTTGAGAAGCTTTCAAGCGTGCTCCATCAGGGCCGGGAGGACTTCTGAGAGACGACGCGCTCTATGAACATACTACCTAGATGGTCATCCCCCCACGGTTTGTCCCCTGCTTGCGCACCGCCAATCACACGGGATCAGCAAACGAACACAACCACGTCGAGGACAAACCCTGGGGAATGTCCTACGCATGCCAACAATCGTCAGAGCACCGAAGCCGGCTTAGTGCTGGTTATGTCGATGTGGCGTCCCAGAACGGCCAATTGGACCACAACCACAACCAAAATGCTCGTGTCGAGGTCGGTGAGTTCTTCCCCGAAGGGCCGTCCAAAAACATCCGCTTTGTTGAGGTTTGGGTTATTCTTGTGCTTGGAAATCAGGCCCCGACAGCCGACGTCCTTCGTGGCCTGATGTTCCGCTACAGCTGTTACAGGTCAGGGATGGACGGCCATCTAAGCCTCGAGAGCTTCGGGCGAGCAATCGAGCCAAGCGCGAGCCGAAGCATTCGAAGTCTGGAAGGCCACGCGTCTCTCCCGCCTGCTGCCTGGTGCCATGATTTGCGGGAGTCAAAAGATGACGATGCCCCTTCTCCCCTGACCTGTCCTGGAGTGCGTTCTGACTAGAAAGGCAAGGGCAAGTCGCGCCTGAGTCCACCTGGGAGGCGGGGCCTGGAAGGCCGGCGCGGGCGGGCAGGGGCCCTCAGTTGTAGATGTGGAACTTGTGGTCAGTGCTGTGTGGCGTAGGAATGCTTGTTCCAAATTGCTCCATTGAGTGCTGTCCTGTGCTAATGTAAGCCATCTATCGTTTTTCAAGGTTGGTGAAACATGTTTGCTGTCAGAATTTGTGTGATATCGTCTTCCCACCTCTTCCTCTGACCCCCGTGTCTGCGGACTGCTTGCCGGAGGTCGTGGATGTCCGGCTCCCACGTCGAAGCAAGTCGGGCCCATCGCAGTCGGAACCTGCAGAATACCTTCAACCATTCCGCCAGCATAAATAATCAAGATCGTGAGCCGGAGTCGAAAAGACGGGAACTGGAATAGGATCCGGGGTCGGGGAGGCGGGATGGGAGCTGGAATCGGAGAGGCGGGAGCTGGAGTCGGACCCGGAGCCGGATAGACGGGAGCTGCAATCGGAGCCGGAGTCGGAGAGATGGGACGGGCGCCAGAGTCGGAGTCGTAAAGGTGGACGGTAGCTGGAGTCGTAAAGTCGGGAGCCGGAGCCAGGTCTGGAGTCGGAGAGATGGGAGCCGGAGTCGGAACTAGCAGAAGACTTTCAACCATTGCTGTCAACATAAATCATCAAAATCGTGAGCCAGAGTCGGAAAACCTTCATCCATTCCAGCCAACAAAAATGATCAGGATCGTGAGCCGGAGTCGGAAAAACGGGAGCTGGAATCGGAGCCGGGGTCGGGGAGGCGGGATGGGAGCTGGAGCCGGAGAAACGGGAACCAGAGTCGGAGCTGGAGTCGGAGAGATGGGATCTGTACTCGGAACGGGAGTCGGAGAGTTGGGACGGGCGCTGGAGTCGGAAAGCTAGGAGCTGGAATCGGTGCTGGAGTCGGAAAGGTGGGCGCCGAAACAGTGTCGGAGAGATGGGGCGGGAGTTGGAGACGAAACCAGTCACGGCGACGAGAGCCTCTCAGAAGGCCCAAAGGGCGAAGACCAGGGAAGTGCAGCGGTGCCGGTATCTTCTCCTCCTTTTCTGGTGAGTTGCGCACCAGTTCGCAGCGCTGCAAGACACGAAGCAAACACCCGCCAGAGTTATGAAGTCCGCTGCCTCCTACAGCCTATACATCTCAAACTCTCTATGGGAGTGGTCATCGGGGTTACGAAAAAGTCAAACGGGCCCATCGCGCACGGGACCCCAAAAAAGTTAGCCAAAACACGCACGCGTGCTGGGCAGTTTGTGAAAACATGTCTGCCAGGATTTCATATCCTGCGTTTGCTTCCCAAGTGAACTTCTGGGACACAGCGCGACATCGTGCTGACTTGCGCTCGGTTCGGGGGCGCTTGGCGGGCGCGCAATAGGCGCGCCCGTGGCCCGTGCGAACCTGCTATGAGAGAAAGCGCGGACCCGCGCCCTGGGCGCGACGCGCCCACCCACGTCTCGCACGAGACTTGCGCTGGCAACCAACGGCCAGGGGACGAACGAATACGGCGTATTCGTTCGTCCAATGAACCGCACGACGCGCGGTTAGCGCGCCGAAGCGGGCGACACGGCGACCCCGCCGAGCGCTAGATGTGGTGCGTCATGATCAAAAATCCTCGCCGTCCTGCTCCCTTCTCCTCCTCCTCCTCCTCCTCCTTCCTCCTCCTACCTCCGCCTTTCCCCGTGTCGTCGGCGTCATCGCCGTCGACTGGCCGCCTGCCGCCGCCGACGTTCGGCGGGGGAGGGGGAGGCGGGAGGGGGGGGGAAAGGGGAGGGCGGAGGGAGGGCGGGGAGGAGGGAGGACAGGTGTTTGCGGCCAGGTCGGGCGCTCCCCGCGCCCCCAGCTCGGGCGCTCTCCGCGCCAAGGTCCGCCACTGGCAAGCGCTAGGGGGAGGGGAGGGCGTGGTGGGGAGGAGGAGGGGTTATACCAGAGAGGGGGGAGGAGGAATAAGTGAAAAAGGCAGAGCGAGTAAGAAGAGAGAGAGAGAGAGAGAGAGAGAGAGAGAGAGAGAGAGAGAGAGAGAGAGTGAGAGAGGTATACATAACGAGTACGAGTAAGAGAGGGGGGGAGGGAGAGCAGAGAAAGAGGAGGGGAGCGAGCGTCCAAGGTCAACTGCAGGACCTCGTCCAGGCGCACTCCTCCCTCCACCTGGCCCTCCTTCTCCTGCCTCCCCGCCCTCATCCCCCCGCCCTCATCCCATCCCCCATCGTCACCCTCCTCCCCAATCCTCCCTCCCCCATTCCCCCATCCTCGATCCTCCCTCACCTCTCCTCCCTCCCGCCCTCCCCCTCATCTTCCTCTTCCTCCTCCTCCCGCCTCGCGTTCCGTCCCCGTCCTCTACTTGCTACGTCCCCCCGCCTACACGTTGACCTTGAACACAAGGGCCTGCTCGGCCCTGAGACTCAGGGCCCTCGGGAGCTGGTCCCTCGAAACCGTGGCCTTTGGCCGATGAAGCAGCTTGAGGTGCTTCATTACCCCGTCGCGCAGTGAGACCTTATCCACTGCACTCTTGAACTCATGCAAGAGGAGGCCGCTCACGAACGTGAGCCAGCCTTCCTTCACCACATTGCACACGGAGTCCGTCCAAACGACGTCTCCTGTGACGCCGAACTTCTCACAGACGTCGCCGTAGGCGTCGACGGCCTCTCATCTCCCTCGACCTCCCTCCTCATATTCCCCCCTGCTCCTCGATCTCCCTCCTCATCCTCACGTTCTTTTGGTTCGGTATCTTCCTCATTGTTCCACCCCCCCCCCCATCCTCACCATCCGCCCTCCTCCTCATCATCCACCTCACCCTCCAACTCTTCCTCATGCCCCCTGTCCTTCCCTTCTAGGGGACTCCTCACCTCGTAGCGTTCCTCCTCGTCCCCTCCCCCCCTCCTCGCCCTCCTCCTCCTTCTCGTCCTCCCCCATCCTCCACTCCCGATCCCCTCGTCCTCCTCACCATCCGCCTCCTCAAGTCCCCCGCCCGCGGGCCTTCTCGAGGGCCTCGAGCGGCTTCCTGGGGCCAGCCACGGCCTTGTCTTTCATGATGCTCTTCTCGGCAACCGAGAAGACTACTTTCCATACCCCGAGCTTGCCCTCGGGGACTGCGTCGACCCAGCGGCCGCCGCCAGAGAGCCCGCCGCGCACGTTGGCGACGGGCTCGAGCACGGCCTCCACCTGGTCCTTCGCCTTCTGCGCGGCCGCCTCGCCGAGCACGTCGAGGACCTCGCGGCCCTTGCGGGCGCTCTCCTCGGCGCGCTGGCGGACGCCGACCGCCGCCTCGACGCCCGCGAGGTCCGTCACGTGCTTGACCACCTTGCGCTGGAGCAGCTGGATGGTCGCCACCTGGGTCGGCTGGCCCAGCGCACTCTGCACGTCGAAGTTCATCTCCTCGGTCTTGTGGTCGGCCATCAGCTTGTCGCACGCCCCGTGGAGCGACGAAGCCTCGACTAGGAT